TTTTGTTTGTTTTATTCCTAACAAATTATAAGTTCAATATAATTTATTAATTTTATATGTATTATATTATAATAATTTTTTAATTTATAACATATAACTACATTAAACATGAATATATTAATTGAAAAACACTTTTTTACAAACCGCTAATTTTACCAAACACTTTTTTACAAACCGCTAACACAATCAGCTGGTCAAAACAGCTAACACGATCCGCTGGTCAAAACAGCTAATTCAATCCGCTAACAGCTAACAACTAACAGCTGATTACCAAACAAGGCTTGTCTTCTCCATTATTTTCTCCTTCTCTCATTTCTCCTCTTTATTTCATTACCATTAAATTTTAATCATCTTTCCATGTAAAGTTTAAGTATATTTTATGTATATGTGGGTTCTGAAATTGATTTTGACAAACGATTGAAACTCGATTGTATAACTAAAGTATATTTTATGTATATGTATGTCCCGATCTGTCGCTGCTTGAATTTCAAGAATCTCGAATGTATATTTTATGCATATTTTATGTATATATTGTGTATACCCGCAACCACTGTTCTAAAAATCGGCCTAGGCGGCCGCCTAGGCGGCGCCTAGACGCTAGGCGGTGCCCGGGCGCCTCCGATTTGCACAAATCGGCAGAAAAAATCGGTCAGGCGGCTAAGCGGCGCCTAGGCGGGCCTAGGCAGCCCTAGGCGCCCTTGGCGGGCGCGGCGATCAGGCGGTTAGGCGGCGCCTAGGCGGGAATAGGCGGACCTAGGCGTTCCTAGGCGGGCTCGGCGGCAATTTTTCAGTTTTTTTTTTTTTTAAATTTTTTAAATATTAATTACATTATTTTATTCTCATGTTTTCTTTAAAATATATTAATTTTATTATTTTGACTTAGGTGTGTTGATTTATTATAAGTTGAGATAGTTTTATTTTGTAGGTAGTCAAACTAAATAAAAAATAAAGTACTTAATATTGATTTCTAGGCCCCACCTAGGCGCTCTAGGCGCTAGGCGCTGGTCGAGCGCCTAGCGGGCGCCTAGCGACTTTTAGAACACTGCCCGCAACATGTAAATTTTCATATTTGATAGTGATATATAAATCATGTACATAATGTTCATACACGAAAACAACACCAAGTTATTCGTCAAAAAACGGATTCAGGCACAGTGTGGGGTCTCTACGCTGTCAATCTTCTTGTTTTGGACGATTTCTGGAGAAGGACTGCAGTGGTGGGATTTTTTGGATGCTACATTACTTGGAAGAAAACATATACTGAAAATATACTGTATATACCCGTAACATATACAGAATAGAACTATCTATCAACGACTCAAGCACATCAAATTATTTCGACAATTATCTTCTGAGAAATTTTTCGTCAAAACGAATTCAATAATGGCCAAAACAACTCCAAGTTATTCATCAAGGGCTAGGGTACTCGGTCTCTCTCTCGGCGTTGTTCGGGTCACGGCAAGAGCTGCTTCTCGGTCTGCTAGTGGGTGTGACGAACAGAGATAAAGGGCTGCTTCTAGGTCTGTTCGAGGGGCTCGCGTGGGTTGCTTCTCAGCGATGGCAAAAAAGGAGGCATGCGCGGGCTCAGGCGTGGCTGTTTGCGGCGGCTGGAGGTGCTTCGATGACTGACGAATTCTTGAAGAGTGAATTGTAGAAGAAGAAGAAATTTGAACTGTAGAAGAAGAGAAAAAAAAAAATTAAACGAAAGAAGAAGAAGAAGAAGAGAGAGGGAGAGAGATAGAGAGGGAGTTTTGGGGATATTAAATCTCATTAAGTAGGGTAACTAATATCAATAAATGTGTTAGAGATATTAAATCCCATTAAGTTAAGTTAATGTGGTATTTGTGTAAATAAAATTACAAAATTATGTTAGCATGCTAATATTTACAAAGTTGTTATATTTATGTAATAAAAAAACATACTGATTGTACATGGTGCAATTTCCTCATAACTTTTCTTTCTTTTGACCTTCCATTTCACCTTATGGAGAAAGTAAATTAGGTAAGGCAATGTATGGTTACATAAATAAGTTAGCTTATAACTTATTTGGTTAGCTTATAAGTTTCATGTATTTAAATACTATGAATCTCTTGATTGTGCTATGCACAGGTCCATGATACCAAAGTATTTATGTTTGAAGGAGATACTCACATATTTTAAAATACGACTTATAGTTTTTAAAATAAAATATAATTGATCA